CCGGCCGCCAGCAGCAGCCACTGGTGCTCCGCCTGCTCCAGCGGCACCACGGTCTCCTCGCTGCCCCGGTGGGCCTTGGGCCCCTTCCGCAGCCCCGGGGAGCGGGACCCGGCCTCGTCCTCCGGGGTCGGCGGGGACAGCGCTGCGGGCGGCTCGGCCCGCGCTGCCGGCGGCTCCCCGGACGGCCCGGGCGCGGCGGGGGCGGGCACGCAGCGCACGGGCAGCATGCAGGGCTTGGGGGGCGGCTCCCGCCGGGCCCCCCCCGCGCCGCCGGGCAGGGGCACCCCGCCGCCGCCGCCCTGGAACAGGCCCCGCAGCTCGGACACCGCCCGCGGCCCCGGCGGCTCCTCGGGGGGCGTCCCGGCGGGGCCGGGGGCCGGGCCGGGGCCAGGGACCGGCACAGGGAGCGGGCCGGCATCGCCCCCCGGCGCCATCGCGCCCCCCGCAGGCGGGGCCGCTCGCAGCTCCCGCCGCAGCACCACGAACTTGGCGCCGTCGATGTCTTTCACCGTGGCCACGGCGTTCACCGCCGCCTTGAACTGCTCCCGCCGCTCGGCGCGCCCCGCCGCATCCCCGGCCCCGGCCCCGGCCCCGGCCCCGGCGGGCTCCAGCAGCGGCCGGAAGGCGCTCACCAGCTCGGCGTTGCGCACCCGCCCGCCGCGCTCCCGCAGGAAGCCCAGCACCGCCTCCGCGCTCAGGGCCAGCTCCGCCATCCCGCCGCCACAGGTGGAGGTGCCGCTCGGGCCCGCCGGGGCTCTCGGGCGGCGGCACCGGCGACGGCACCTGCGGCGGTGGGCGCGGAGGTGCTCGGGCCGCCCCGCCCCGACACCGCCCCGACACCGCCCCGACACCGCCCGCACGGGGAAAGGAGCGGCCCCGGCGCCGGCACCGCCCGCGGGGCGGCACTGCGGGGGCGGCCCCGCGCCCAGCACTGCGCTGAGCACCGGCACCGACCGAGCACCTCTCCGAGCCCCGGCTCCGCGGAGCGGCCGGACCGCGCGGGGCACGGGCGGGAGCGCACACGGAGCCGAGCGCTGGGTGAGAGCACGGGGGTATCAGTTCTCCGGAGACTCCTCGGGCAGGGGTGGACGCTTCATCGATTTACTCGTCTTCATGCTTCCTAGAACGAGTGGGGTTTTGTTTGATTGTTTCGGTAGCAAATAAGTGGAAGCAGCTTTAGGTAGAAATCACTCTGCAAAGTTCGGTCTCCATTCTCAGAGAAGCCTCTGGTGTCCTGCGGGAGCTTCGATCTGATGCCTCAAAATGAGTCAGAAGATTGCTGGGTGGGTCAGTCTTTGGAGATATCCTCACCCCTATGTGATGTTATATATATTGTCGTATATCTATTATCATATCCCCCACCCAGCGCATCTCTCTTCTCCCTTGCTTATGCTGACCTCCCTTCTGCTGCTTCACACCTTTTACTGAGCATGGAAGATCCCCTGGCCACAGATCGCTCAGTCTTCCTTTGGCAGTCTTTCCCTTTCTTTCTCCATCTTTGTGCAAACGTCTGAAAAACTATTTCATCTCTTGCTAACGAGGTGGTGCCAAAGCAGTTCCTTAAAATCATTTTGCTGCTCTAATTAGAAAGATCACATAATGATGTGTAATCTTCTTGTAGTAGCTCCCTGTTTCCATGTGAATCCACCTCATTGCTGCCTGTTCACGTGGCACACACAGCCCCTCTGCTGTATGAGCACTGCTCTGCAGCTCATGGCATCGCCACAGTCTGCCCAGCCTACGTAGAGACCTAACAATGAGCCTGCATCCAAATACCAGTTGTTGTGCCTTGCTTCCACTGTTCACATCCTTACTGGAATCCATTGCAGGCATAAGAAAATCTCAGCAGTCTGTGATTTTTGCATTGCAAACTTTCAGCTCTACCCGAGGATTACAGTTTGTATCTGCAAATGCCAGAGAGGAGTGAAAATGGTTCAGAAGAATAGGCTCTTCTGGAAAGCATTTTCTTATGTTACAAATGTTAAGGGAGAAGTTGCTCCTGTTGCTTGATTTGGTTCAAGTGTGGCCTTGGGCTCACTGCACCCCATCCCTGCCTGCACAGGCATCACACCCCTGTATCCTTAAGACCATGAGGGTGCACATGAGGTATCACATCCCACTCGTTTTATCCCCAGCCAGGCACCATTCCTGCAGAGGGATCTCCATGCACCAGGCTCCCAGAACACCTCACTGCTCAGCAGCCAAGCCTTTGGTCTGAGGTCCCATCTGAGGGTAGCATTTCTGTAGACATGCCTCGTGAGCTCTATATATTGTCAGTATAACCAATGAAAGTTTAATAAAGTGCTTGGTGGTGCTGCTGCTAAAAGTGTAGCTATAAACCATTTGGTTTCCAGTAATCCCCAGGACACACTGTGAGGAATATAGTTACCAATAAGCTGCTTCCTCTGGCCTGTGTTGAAAACCCTGAAGGAGCTCTGTTTATCTGCACCGCCTGGATTTGAAGATCGAGGTTTTTACTCAGCCCTGAAAGATGCAGCCATCTTCAAAAGGCCTTGATCTTGCTGCTGCACTCCTGTGGCAGGTGGGATGAGCTCTTGCTCTCTGTGGCTGCCTGTGAAGTCAAAGGGGCTGTTTTAGCATTTACTTCTCTCCACTTCCATTTCCCGATCCTGGGGTCAGAACATGAAGAGGTAAAGCAACTCCTGCTGCTCTCCCCACTGTCAGGACTGGGCTGCTGCAGTGCCATGCAGAGAGGAGCATTTTCCCTCCTCTCCCCAGGACAAAGAGGTTCTAGGGACACATTTGTGCCTTTCCATTCCTTTATGCTCTCTGCCCTAGCTCTTTACCTGTAGGGAATTCATAGCTCCCCCTAAATTCACTGTGGATTTAGCAGGTACAAATATTCCACAGAGTTTAAAAGCCTTGCAGGAGCATCCAGCACTGTAATATACTATTAATTAAGGTGCTATTAGGAATAATTTGCTGAACAATTCATGCCTTAGCAGTTAAAGGCGCCACCAAATCCAATTCACTTCTCTTGAAGCAGTTTTTATGCAACTGAACCTTTTGAAATTAGCAGGGCTTCTCTTGAACTGGCATTAGATACAGTGTGCTTTTTGAAATTACAAGGTATTTAAAAATAATTGTGACCTTTTACACCTGCTGTGCTGTCCCAGAGCTCTGCCCCACGCTGGTGGCAGCGCTGCTGGACAAAGGGACAGAGGATTCCAGCTGCAGGAGGGCTGAGCAGCGCAGCTCAGAGCCAGCACACAGCACTGGTCTGTGTTGATCTGTTGAAATGTCTCACTATTTCCTTTATGCCCTGAATCTTTGCATCTGACCTGCAGCTCACAGAAACCAGCAGCTGTTTGGGAATCAGCTATTGTGAGCCTTGTCTTGTTACACTGTGCACTTTATTGTCAGGGAAAAGAGCTCTTAATGAATCAAAGTCACTTCTCCTAAAGTAGCTGGTGTAAAAAAAAAAAAAAGAACTTTTTAGCTGTTTATTTTTGCTTGTGAAATACAACGGCAGCCTGGAAAATTAACAACTCTGCTCCTATATAAACTGTTCTACTTGCATCTGTACACCAGAAATACCAGATTTAGCTTCCCCATTTTTGCTGAAGGAGCCAGGGAGAACTGGAGAACCTTTGGGAATCGGCCAAAGAAACAAGATGGCAAAGTGAATGTCTGCAGGAACATCTCACTCACAAGAGATAAATGAATAAAAGGTTCAGCAAGCTTCACACTGCTGAGAGTGGAGAGAGTCAGCTCCAGGTGCCAGGGACCAGCAGGACAGCTTTGCTGTCCCTGGCAGCATTAACACAGGGCTATGGCTGTGACAGGAGTGATTTTGGTCATTTTGGTGACAAAAAATTAGCAGATGGTGTTCAGCAATGACCTTTTCAGAGAAGTACAACATTTTTTAAAACCTGTCTTTAATCAGAACTAAAATATGGATTAGCAGAAATAATTTGGTTGTAGGCAGTCTCCTCAGGAAGGACAGGAAACCAGCATCTCTGACCTGCACTAGATCTATCATATTTCAAAAAGCAGATCACTTGGATAACACCCTCTCAGCTTCTCTAATATTGGGATTAAAACTTCCACTAGACCAGGTTGCTGCAAGCCACATCCAGACTGGTCTTGAACACTGCCAGGGATGGGGAGTCAGCTGCTCTGGATAACCCTTTCCAGTGCCTCACCACCCTCACAGTAAAGAACTTCTTTCTAATATCTAATGTGAACCCATCAGGATTAGGGGTGCAGGTCTGGTCTGGGGACCCAGCGGCACGCGTGGCTCTGTGGAGCTGTGCAGGGCTGCACTGCAGCAGAGGGCACCAGCACGCAACAGAAACTGCTCTGTGCTCTCAGCTCATGAAGCACCCGTGTCTGGGCAGTTACACAGACCGATGGGGTTGGCTTTGTGCTTCCTGCGGGAAGGAATGATGAAGAAAGGCTCCCAGTCCTCTGCTGCATACTTTAACTTACATAGACACAGGCAGCGGGAGGGCCGTGAGCTCTGGCTGGAACCCACGCTGTGCCCGCAGCGCCGGCGGGGCTCCCGCGTGTGACAGCGGCACCTCGGCGTGGGATGCCCCGCGCTGTGGGATGTCCTTCCAGCCCGCTGGAGGCTGGGGGTTTCCCGAGGTGGGGAAACCACAGAACCAGCGAGGCTGGAAACACCTCCGAGGCCACCGAGTCCGACCTTTAGATGGGGCTGTGTGGACCCTGCCGGGGTGCTCGGGCCCTCCCTCGGCCCCGCTCGGGCACGGGTTTGTGCCTGCCTTGCGGTGCTGGGCGCTCCCAGCGCTCTGCTGCGGCCGGGCCGCCGGTGCTCGGAGCTCTGCTCGGAGCTCTGTGCTCGGTGCTCGGAGCTCTGTGCTCGGTGCTCGGAACTCCGTGCTCCCCCCTGGGGCCGGGCCCCTCGCCCCGCCAGTCCCTCCCTGCGCGGCCGGGCCCCGGTTCCTCCCCTAGGGCGGGCCCGTCCCGCCCCGGCCGTGCCGCCCGGCCCCGGTGCCCGCGGTCGGTGTGGCGGGCGGTGCCTGCGGCGGGCGGAGGGAGTTCCAGGAAGTGGCCATATTGGATCCATTCCCCGCATCCTCCCGCGCGGGCAGCACCGCCGCTCCCGGCCATGGCCGCCACCGACCTGGAGCGCTTCTCGGTGAGCAGGGCCGCGCTCCGCCCGGGCACTCGGCCCGGCTCTGCCGCGCTCGGAGCGGGGATGGCCCCGCGGCTGGAGGGGCCGGGGGGATGCGCGCCGGGGGCTCTGCGGAGGGGGCGGGCGGGGCCGGGGGTGCGGGGACGGTCCCTGCGGGAAGGTCCCGCAGCGCCGGGGGCGGGAGGGGAGGGAAGGGAAGGGCGAGCGGAGGGGCCGTGGCTGGAGCTGGAGCTGGAGCTGGAGCTGGAGCTGGAGCGGTACCGCCACGCTCAGAGGCTCCTGCCGGGATGTCCAGGATGCTCCCAAAGCGTGTCCGGTCCGGGTGCCTGCGGGCGGGTGCTGTGTGCCTCCGGGGGGAGAAAGAAACCGGGTCAGACCCTCCGAAACACGAGCTGTTTGCACAGCGCCGGCATCCAAACACTCTGCGACAGTAACTTAGCGGTGTGTGTGTAGAGCGGCGAGAGACACACGGTTCAGACACGGGCAGAGCGAACCCTCGAGGCTGGCTGGTCCCGGGGTAAGGAATGCCGTCCAGCAAATATGGAGCGTGACCCGCGCTCCGCCGCCGCTCTGCAGCTCACATGTTGTATAACTGCTATCGGAAGTCAATCTGGCTAAAATCTGTGTCGGCTCTAAACTATTCTTTGTCTACCGCTTGAATTTTCTGTTGTTGTTGGAAGGCTGCTCTCGTGAAATAGCTCGGTGATGCGTCTCGTAGCCTTGCAGAGCTAAAAACATTTTTACCGCATTAAGTAGCATAGTTCTCCAAAGTCAGAAAAGTCTGGTGTGCTATTACTAAATAAATGGGAACAGCAGTGGTGGCTGTCTGAATTATTGGGATGCCGTTTGAGCACAAACAAGTCCCTGCTACTGTTTTCTTTGAAAGCTACTTTTTGCCAAGAATCTCAAACTCTGCTTCATTTCTTTGAATCCTGGCGCAAAAGTTTCCAGCTCAAGAATGAATTTGCAAAACTGTAACTTACTTAAAACTTGCGTGAAGGAAAATTGATTTGAGGCTCTCATTTAAGGAAACTAATGTTTCTAGGCTCTGGGAGGAGGGGATTAAGGTAAAGCCAATGGCAGGCAATGGAAACACTGTGACTGTCTCACTGCAATCCTTTCTGAATTGGTATCATATATAAATACCTTTAATGGTAATTTGGTGTGCCTGCTGCTGCCTGTGCAGGTTTTCATAGATGTTACAGGAACCTAAAATATTGCCTAGTTCTGGAGAAAATGAAGCTTAATTTGTGTTCTTTGGTGCGGGTAAAGAATGCTTGGTGTACTTACATCAGTATTCTAACACTTTTCTCTTTAAAAAAGAAAGGGGAGGGGGGAAAAAAAGCTCCCAAAGGTGCTTGGCTGTCATTTGGGCACCAAAGGGAAATGGCTTGGCTCCAGCATGGCTTGAGTGCCCAACTCCATTAGGAGGAAATCTGCTTCCTTTGCGCTGGGAGAGCTCATAGGGATCTGCAGACCCGGTAGATCTGGTGCTCTGATGGTCTTAGTTTGCCTTTCACCTGGAAGCACAGATCTGGCAGAAGCAGGGGAGAGAGCACTGTCTCTTCTCCATTTGACATGGGGCAGAGGTCTGTCCCAGCTGCTGTTCCCTTTACCCTTAGGATGTGTCTCGGTCTGATGCTGTTCCTCTGGCAGTATCGTGGGAATCTCGTGATTCAGGTGTTCCAAGCTGTTCTTTCTGCAGGGCTCACAGCTTTCTTGGTGCCACTTTATATCACTGTGCCTCAGTTTCCAGAGCAGAAAGTCCATGTGGGAGTAGCTCGTTGCTGCCAAACCCAGTGATTATAAATTCATTTATTTTTACCAGCTGTTTGTATCTTCAGTGGGAAGTAATGTTGAAAAAACCTCTGAAGGAGGGTTTTGACACACAATAGACCATGCTATTCAGATGGTTGAAGCTATTTATAAGTGTCCAGCTGACATCCTGGAATGTAGTGACCCTTAGGTTTGGATAATGTGTTTTGAAAACTCCCCAGATGCACGCTTCCCTTGTACAGCCCTCCAAAATGCCTCCGTCTCCAGCACAATAAAGTTCCCTTCAAGTGCTGCTGTTGGAAATGACCAGCAAAAGCAAATGAGAGGAAGCTGGCCCATGGAAAGCTGCCTCTGAGGCAGCAGGATCACACCAGTGGTGCTCAACACTGCCTTTGTTTTTGTGAATGTAGTGTTGTGAGAGAGATTTGCTTCAGCCCCTGGAGACTGAAGTTCCTGCTGATCTGGGAACGTGGCTCACCACTGCCTTGCTCAGGCTTGGTCTGCAGGCATCGCTTCTGGAGACCCAAGGCTGCTCAGCAGCAGAGTGGGGAGAGAGCTGATAGCTGGTTCAGTTGTGAAATACTCTGTCATCAAGACTCAGAGCTTCTCCATGGCCTGGCCTGGGCAGTGCTGAGCTGGCCCAGGCAGTGCCTGTGTGCTGGAGCAGACGCTGGCAGTATTAGCGAGGATCTGGGGGTGTTGAGCGGGACACAGCCCAACCACCACATGCAGGCAGAAGCCAGGAGGTGTGTGAAGTGCAGCAGGGAAATGCAGAAGCTCTGAAGGAAGCTAGAAAAGCTGGAAGGAGAAGGAGTGACGGAGAAGCGACTGGAGGTGCGTAGGAGAGTAAATGGGATGAGATGTGAGACTGAGACTGTAAGACTGTTTTGCTTTTAAGAAGCTTTTTCGAAACTCCCAAATCTGTTGCTTTCTCTTTTTAAATAAAACCATCGACCTCACAGAATGCTGTTCCTTAACGATCTGCATTAACCCACAGTCTGAGTTGGAGGTGCAAAGGCAGTTGCTTGGGCTCCCAACTGAGCAGCTGCGTTCTGTGAGAAGGAGAAGGTGTCCTCAGCCTCAGGGTTGGGCTGAGATAACAGTTCAGGGTGAAAAGTTAACTCTGGAAGATGCCGTGGCTGATTGCTTGATGTGCACACTGTGGCTGCCTGCACAGACAGGGATGTGTGAACACTGATGCCCAGTGAGGAGAGCACTGACACTTGTACGTATCAGTGTGAGAGCTGTGGTTGTGGGACAGCTGTCTATATGCAGTCCTGAGATTTCCCTTCGTCTCAGTGATTGACATCTGGCTGGTACTGGCAGCTGTACTATAAATTAATGTCCCTTAGAAGATCTTGCAGAAAAAACACCACCTGATAGAGAGGAAAGCTGAACAGCATCTTCCTCACTGGAAATGGACAGTGGGATTTGATTTGTTGTAGCGAGTTGCTGAGCTTGGGGCGGATCTGGCCAGTTTAGCAGCTGTGTGAGCGTTACCTGTTGACACACCACTGCCTTCTTGTCACCTGCTCCCAGCTCTGTGGGAGGAGAGGGACCTTTGAATGGGGCTGCTCCTGCCATAACTGCCTGGTTGGGATAAACTTCATGTGTTGCTGCTGTTTTCTGTAAGCTCAGGGTTTCACTTAATGACTGCACAGCCTAAACCTGCTCCTCCCTGTGAGGGGCCAGTGTGACACCTTAATTTGTGAAAGACGGGCATGAGGAGTAAGCTGAGAGCGGTTCTGTGTAGCGTGACCAGGGCAGAGAGGTTGCCAGAAGTCTTATCACTGCAGGTCCTAAGCACAGGCTTACATTTTCTTTTAATCACACTCTCAAGGAAAACTTTTCCATGGCTTAATTCCAGTGGAAAATGGGGTTGACTTAACTTCTGACATTCCCCTGGCTCTATTTTTTTGCCCAGCCAGAGGCACCATTTGGAAGTTCCAGGATTAAATTTTCTTGTCTGTTTTTGCCATTCAGTTACTTTACCTTTAGCCTGGAAAAACTCAAGCGATCTCCCGTGCAGAGTGGAACACAAGTGACAGATTTTTCTCCAAGCTGGTAGCAAACACCAGGAAGCGAGCCCAGCAGGAGCAGCCCTTTCCCTCCCTGCCCTGGCCAGCAATTCTGCCTGGACCGTATGCTTTTTTGGGAAGAAACGATGGAGAAAATGGTCTTCCAGTGGAGGGGACAAATTGGTGATTGCCCCTGCAAGCCCTGCAGTGCCTCCCTGGGAGACTCGCCTGTCCTCACACAGGAAGCCATCTCTGACTGCCTCAGCCACAGGGCCAGTCAGCTCAACCACAGCCTATCACAGCTAAACACTTATTTTCAGTGTGTGCACTGTGAACCAGTGTTGCCCAGAGTAAGATTTTTTGCAGTTTTTTCCCTTTCCCTGCTGTGGTGCTGTTGCTGTCGGTCTCTTCTTGCAGCAGAGATGCAACGTGTTGTTGTGCGTGGGAGCTCCAGGGCTGCTCTGAACGCTCGGAGCTGCAGCGAGTGCCGAGCCCGGGGGTGGAGGGGTGGGAGGCTGAGGCTGGGAGTGGGTGGAAGGCCAGGGGGTGACAGGTGGGAGGCAGGCTGAGGCTGGGGGTGGAGGGGTGGGTGGAAGGCTGAGGCTGTGTGTGCCCTCAGCATCGGCAAAACAAGTGAAAGCCTGAAGAATAACTCTCTTTCAGGAGGCCAGCCCGGTGTCAGGGCTTGTTGTCAGTGCTGTGGTGGCAGCTGTCAGCCAGTCTCCAGCACTGCTGGAAGGCCAAAAGCTCCCTAAATATTATCTTGTGTGGCAGGACAGCCAGCCAGCTGCAGGGAGAGGCACAGCCCTGTCTCCGAGTGCCCCCGCTGTCCCCAGCGCTGTCGTCTCGAGGCACGGCTGTGCAAGCTGAGGGCTCAGGGCTGGGCTGTTCTGTCTGCAGAGCAACAGCCACGCTTCTCTGCTCCTCTCCTTGCCTTCTGCTCCTTTGGCTCCGAGCTTGGGAGGGGAGAAAACTGGCATGTTGCTGGCATGGCTTTTCCTGGGTTGTGCAATGAGGAGGAATTTGGGAGGTGATGGGACTGAGGCAAGCATGCAGGGTGTGAGCATGCTGTTTCACCCTCCTCGGTGGGGTAGGGGCACATTTATGGGATTAACTTTGATTATTCCAAACATATCTTGGACAGACATCTTGGATGTGGATGGGAGAAGCTGCCCTGTTTGTTTCAGATGAGCTGCAACTTTTAGAAAT